CAAGGGAGGGGATTGTCTTGCTCTGCTCTGCACTGGGGCAGCCTCATCTCGAGTGCTGGGGGCAGTTTTGCGTGCCAAAATGTGTATATAACTATTAGTTACACATATAGTTCAAATTAGGAGAACAAAGACGGTGAAGGGCCTTGAAGGGAAGCCAAATGAGAAGTGGCTGACATCACTTGGTTTGTTCAATCTGGAAAAGAGGAGGCTGAGGGGAGACCTCATTGCAGTTACAACTTCCTTCTGAGGGGAAGAGGAGGGGCAGGCACTGATCTCTTCTCTGGTGACCAGTAGAGAACCTGTGGGAATGGCCTGGAGTTGTGTCAGGGGAGGCTTAGGTTGGATATTAGGAAAATGTTTTTCACTCAGAAGGTGTTTGGGCACTGGAACAGGCTCCCCAGGGAAGTGGTCACAGCACCAAGCCTGACAGAGCTCAAGAAAAATTTGAACAATGCTCCCAGGCACATGGCGTGATTCTTTGGGATGTTGATGTGCAGGGCCAGGAGTTGGATTTTGATTATGTTTATGGTTCTAATTCAGAATCCTTTCTGATTTTCTGAAATTCAGTTATACAAAGAAACATGAAAAATAAAACAAATATGTAGAAACTGATAGTAGCAGATATAAACCCCATATAAATAAAATTATATTTTTTTAAAAGGAAAAAATAGAAATATAACCAGTTTTCTAGAATGAGTAAAAAATCTATGGCAAAAAAAGTATTCTATTCTTTTTTGGCTTTACTGTTTTAGCATAAAAGAATTAATGCTGCTGGAGCATATATTTTTACCTTTTATTCATGTTTTAACATATATTACTTGTGTAATATGCTGATTTGTAAGAAACACCTGTAATCTTTACAGAAACTTTCTTTAGCACTATTACTAAAGCTACATTTATAGGAAAGTGTTCCAATTGTGCAGATTTTAGTCTCTTGAAAAATTGCAGATTACACTTTAAATTTTACAGTATTAGCAAAAATACATAAACTTGCATTGTGTAGATCTAATAAGAAATTGAGGTGTTCTGATTTTGGCTGGTTCTTACTGTACACAAAAAAACTACCTATGAAAAAATATGTTTTAATTTTTAGGCTCTAAAATGGTGAAAAACCATAGAAGTTGCTTTTAGAAATTTGGAAATACTCCTACTTTCTCTTTTAATATTTATAAAATTGTTATCAAAAGATTTAGTGGTGACATCCTGTACTTTACAAGTAAATTTTCTATCTCTTTAAATCCTCCCCTTCTCCTTCCCCATCACCTCCCCCTTCCCCTTCCTTTTTCCAGTATTCATTCCAGGAGGGTGAATGTCTATTCCAATATTTCTTCTGCTTCAGCTCTTACACTTGGTAACCAAGAAATGAACATAAAGGTTCCAAAAGCTGGTTGAAACTAAGGCACACACTTTTTTCAGTTGCAAAAACTGCAGAAATTTAATTGTCTTAGCTTGGTATGGCTTGCATTGTTCAAGCCATGAAAGTATTCTGCAAAGTCTAGAGTACTTTTTACATTCCAGAAGTTAATTTATTTATAATATTTCTTATCAGTTTACTTAAGCCTTAATATATTCAGAAGTAGGGTTTAAAATACTGTTCTTACACATCTGACTTTCTTTAATCTATATAGAATGAATTCACTACTATGGGCTGAGGAAATTTATGCAGTTTAAAACTCACACCATAAAAAGAATGCTCAGATATTGTTCATAATATCTAAAGTACTGTATTCTGGATGTGGCTTTGGTGAAGTAAAGGCCTACAATTTGCTTCTTTTCATGTTAATAAAGAAATAACTAGGGAAAGGAGGAAAAATAAAATGCATGATGTTTGAGGTTTTTTTGCAAATTGGTTTTGTTTTTTTAATTTGCTGAATGTCAGATTAATTATTATGTACATATCTAAATATTTAATCTCATTTTTGCCTTAGACTCCCATATCTACTATTTATGTTCTATCTCTGAAACACTTTCAAGAAAGAAATAAAAAATATAGAAAGATAAATGCAAACTCTGTTCACTGTGGAAAATGACAGGAACTGATCTCATAAACCTAAAGTGCTGAGAGCGCTAATGTTAAAAACAGTCAGTCATCCTACCTATAGGATGGAATCTCTTTCAGAAAACTGCAAGAGATTGATGCTTAAAGATTTGCCAAAAGCGTGATCACTACATAGATCAAACCAGTCTTCATGGCCAGCTGGTGAAGTGGCCTGGGAGATGGAGAGAGGTTTCTAAGATCAGGATCGCAGGAGGAACTGCCCATCTGTGGGGGCACTATGGAGTCTGTGCTTGTTTGCATCTCCTGCAAGGCAGATGGGAAGGACAAGGATCTGGGACCACCTGCTGCAAGGACCATGAGTTCAAGGACAACTCCTGAGGAATCTGTGGTGTGTTAGTGTGGGGATGTGTGAGTTTGTAGGTTCCCAGTGCACAGGTGTGTTAGCAAAGGCGACCTGGAGTGGTGTTGTGGTTTGTGTTTATTTCATTAAGTTACTGTTAAATGGTTCATTCTGTTATCCACCAACATTTTCCCCAAGTTGGTTTTCCCTAAGTTGTACCCTCCCTCTAGCTATTCCCCTCCCTTTGTTTTAGTCCCATCCCTCCATATCTAGACAACCCTGCCCTCCTTCCCTGCCTCTCAAGGTGACCCTGCCCTTTTTTCCTGAATGTTCCCTGCCACTCACCCCCTGGACCAATCCCTGTTTGAAACACCCACTTGAAAATCCCCTAATCCATGACATCCCATTGGCCCATGTGACCTTTCCCTCCCCTCTCCCTATCCTGACTGGTCCCACAGTGTTGATGTTATCTCCTTGCTCCATCCTTGAAATCCCCCTATTGGTTGATTTTCTGTATCCACCCCCTGGTTGGTAGGTGTATTTAAACCCTTGTGCAGAGGTGCCTTTGGACTTATGTGTTGTAGAGTTTGTGGGTCAGTAGGTTTGCTTGTTGGGAAGCCCCAGTATCCAGCTGTCCCCCGTTCCTGGTTTGGCTGTTGGAGTGTACCGAGCTAGTCTGGGTTCCAGTGGGCTTTGGCAGAGTGGCACTATGATTTCAGGTGTTCTCCTATGTCCAGGTGACAGCTACAGGGACCGTCTGTGTCCACTTTGTGGCAACAATCCATATTATACATAGGGATCAGTCTTGCACTAATGGATGTGTGGTATCCTGTAGAAGACAGGCACAGGATGAGACCGTTGGTACTGTGATCATGTATGAGCTTTTTGTGATCTGTGTGGCTGAAGGTACTTATTTGTGCATTGCAGATGGCAGTTTGTGTGCTTACTGGGACTACAAGCTCAAGTTCATTATACTTGGTCCAGAGAACGTGGAGCTGTGTCAGCCTTGACTCAGGTGGCTGGATTTGACCCTCCTGCAAGAGATGCTCCAAGGTAACATAGGTCTTTCCCCTGACGTCATTTGATAGTTCAGCATAGCTGTCTGAACATCACAGTCCTGAGATACTTTGTAAGTTACTTTTTTCTCTGGTTCATCCCTTGCTCATGTTGGGAGTATGGTTTCAGCTCAGCTGGCTTGATAGCTAGACTAGGTAAAACTTCTGGATGTTGTACAGCCTTGCTCGACAAACTTGGCCCCGAAATTGAAGTATTGAAGCACAGGCAATGACACAGCCATGTACCCACTGAAATAGCTTAAGAGACAAAAAGAAACAGGCAAGAAAACCAGCAATATACCTATATTCTAGAACTGTACCACAAAACAAAAAAAAGAACAACAAAGAAAATTAACAAAAAGTATGACAAAAGGAAAACTGTATGATACGTATAGAATAAGAAGTGTTCATAGAAGGTAGGTTGGAAACCAGATGGAAAGCTATCAAAGAAGATGGAAGAATATTTACAGAAACGTGACAAAGCCAATAGCTGCAGTACCTCTGTGAGAAAAGCCAAAATGAAGCAGAGAAAGGGTTGTATGTTTTGGGTTTTTTTATATTGGAAACATTTAAATAAATGGAATCAGAGATTTTTGCATAGATAGGAATAAGTAGGTGATGGAAGCTAGATTGTAGTGAATGTTAAAAGAAGCCTAACAAGAAAATTCTTAGCTCCAGCCAGATAGCATTTGTTAAAAGCTTGCGGAACTGTTGCACAGAAAAAGGATGATTTTGTTAGAAAGTATTTTGAAATAGAATAAGGTGTCAACTTGTCGCTGAATTTTGTCCATTGCAACCACATACACCCAAGCACTCAAAATTCTATTTGAAGTGTGTGTAAAATATCCACTGTAAAAGCTGACAAACTACAGCTCACAAAGTACTTTGCAGTTTCTGAAACTGGAGGAAATCTATACATATATAGTTGAAAAAAGACTAATGCTCACAGCTGTGAAGTTGTAGGAAAAGGGAGCAAGGAACATCAAGTGTGCTGCAAGTATTCTACTTTCATCAGTATGAAATTTGATGATCTCCATGCCAAAGGGGAAAGAATAATAATCCCTAGCGGTTTATAAAAAATTAATGTCTGGAGAATTTTTTCCTGTACCAAAGTCACATAAGCACTGAATACTTGAGCAAGACATCAATAAGGAAAATTCCAGGTCTGAACAGCAGTGAAAAAACTTACACATTCTGCTGTGCATGCTATCTTTTTCTGTGATCACCATCTAATGTTTGATATAAAGGTGAAAAAAACTTAAACATTGTATATGAAGGCCAGAGGAAAAAATCTTCCCCATGTGCAGTAAGTGATAAGCAGAACCTTGAAATATGCATTTAGTATGATACAATATTTGAAAAATAGGTGTATAGGTGAATCTAGTGCTAGAGCTATTTTGAATGCTCTATAACCACCGCAAATGGGAGTACAGGTTTAAGAAAAGCTTTTCTGGGTAGGTGCTGCATTTTTTTGATGTTTGAAAATATTATTTTTGTTTTGTTATTTAAAGTATGCAAGGTACTATAAATTTTCTCTAGTTCCTTTGCAAAGCCATTTTATATTTCACTATGAAAAATGTTTTATATAACAGTTTGTTTCAAAATTTATCAATTTATTTAGTTTTAATTTCTTTTCACATGGTTAAGATATTTTCACTGTTTTCAGTACCAATACTGTATTTTTTTTTTTTAATGTTCACGACAAGCATTATATATCTAGTTCATTTAAGACTGATGTCCATGTCACACACCTTCTGAAGTCTTTCCAACTGTTGATTATCTCTCTGGTGAAGAGGTACCTGTAACAGAAAGAAATATACCAGGTGTAAGGGGCTGGTCTCCAGGCAGGTGTATATAATGCATTTGTATGTCCCTGGTCTATTGCATTGGTTTCTCTTCAGATTACGAGAGGATTTTTATTTCCAAGACAAAAAGATACTCTGTTTAATATACCCTTCAGCTGTGTTTTGTTATCACAGCTCAGTGGTTGCCCAGAGTCATTGCATTTTGCTGAATGAGGGTTAACATGAGGGTTCCTACAGAAAGTGTGACTGAGGAGAAAGTTTTGCCTCTTGTTCTTACCAGAGGCAACTAAATATTTCAGATATGATGGCAACTAAATATTTCAGATATACCGACACTGATAAATATGAAAAATAAAAGTAAATATCGCAAAATTCTTCTTTAAAGATCAGCTAAGCAGATTATTACAGAATAAACATGCCTTAAGAGAAACCCAGAACGACAGTGGGTACATTCCTACATTCACCTTTAAAAAAAACCAAAAAAAATTTTGTCCTTTTTCTACTGGTTTATCCTACTTGCAGTTCTGGATCATTTAGCACTTGTCTTTCCTCCAGAACAAAGGTTTGATCATGCAGGTTTGACATTTTACTTTCTACTTTTGACCAAGTTAGACTAATTTGATGGATGGTAATATTGAAATACACAACCTGCGGAGAATAGCTTACATAGTTTAGAAATACAATATATTGGTATGAGGGTTTATCAGCATATCTAGAACACATTAACAAGATGTTCTGCATGCTTCTAACTATTAGTTTAAGGTCTTAAAAAATAGTAAGTTTTTTTCTGTGGGATGCTGAGAAGAATAAATCTGTGTCATCTGTTCGTTAAAGGCTGCATGCTGTCATCTTAAACATGAAGCACATTATTTGGGGAGACATGTTATCACCCAAGGCATAATTATTATCTGGAATTATAGATTTGCAAATTACAATTTGCTCACACATAGCTTCCCAACCTCACAATTTTTTACTGAAAACTCAACATCAGAAAACACTTTTCTGCCTCCCTTTTTAAGGATTCTTAATATTTTTTTATCCTACAGAATGATTTATGTGTCCTGGAAGCCATTTACCATACCTACTCTGTGTGTGTATGAATAACTTGAATAACTTGGAAGTTCTCATATTAAGGTTGAACTTGTTGATCTTGGAGGTCTTTTCCAACCTTAATGATTCTATATCACACTAGAAACCTATGCTCATGATAAAATCTTTTTTTTGAACAGACCTCAGGCAATCTAGATGATTAGTTAGTCCAATGTCTGTCTCAGAACAGGTGTAGTTACAGGAAGATAACTGTGCCTTGTCCAGTTGTGTTCATAAAAATCTCTAAGGATCAAGAAATCGCAACCTCAACCAACTATTTTCTGTTTCAGAATAAATGAATTTATGATACTGCTGAACTTTCATATATGGACTAGCTATAGTTATAAAAGACTGTAATTCCTTTGTTTGAGTTGTTTGTTTTTTTCTTTTTTTTTAATGTTTGTTGTTTTAGGTTTTTTTTTTTGTTTTTTTTTTTTTTTGGGTTTTTTTTTTTGGTTTTTTTTTTTTTTGTTTGTTTGGTTTTTTTTTTGTTTTTTTTTTTGTTTTTTTTTTTTTTTGGGTTTTTTTTTTTTTTTTTTTTTTAATATAAAGCATGGGAGATTTTCAGGAAGCATTAGACCATCAATGAGACAAGTTATACAAGGAAGCCAATATATATTTTTCTACTAAAACACTATCACTGCAAAAAAATTCAAATTAAGACCTAGTAACACATCATCAAAGAGCTATTTTCATTGTGCATTTATCCACCATAGTTACATAGCTGTTGAAAATACTTGTCAAGGCAGATACCCAGATAATAAAACCTCTTGTAAATGCAATTGCATACATTGTGATAACAGCTTTATACTGTGCAAAACTAAAGCCATCTCCACCAGAATTTAGAAAAAGTACTACTTCTTGATAACCTGAAATGTCATGGAATTTGCTGAGTAATTTAAAGTCACATAGAGTTCTGAGTCTGTGACAAATTTCATAAACCTTGCAAACATAACTTTAGTTCTTCTGATTGCTCCATCTCTTCTTCCCCAGCCCAGGTATCTGAATACAATTTTATTGAGATATTTCACTAAATGGAATAGGGCAAATCATTGCAGCATTTTCTGGGTTAAACCATTATTTTTCTGTAGTAGTTATGCTTGAAGAGCTAAGTCTCCATTTGCTGGATGATTTTTTTCATTTTCTTTAAAGATTTTACAAAATAAAATTGTCAAATACATACAACTCTGTCATTTCAATGATTTTCTCTTCCTTAACTAGAAGTACAATTTCTAAGAGGACCTTTCCTGGGAAAAAAAAATTTAACCTTTAAATGGAAATGTGGCACCAATGTATACCATAACACTGTAGACCTATAATTATAGTACTTCCATTCCCAGTAAGAGACCTCAGGCTTTTCCTTAACTCTGCATGGACTTGGGACTAGGATTTGTGAGTCTTGCTTTGTAGGGACATGTCTTGAAACTTTGGTTTTAGGTTAGTTAACAGCAGCAGTACCACAGACTGTTAAATTATGCATTTTAGTTGTTGTCTTTGTTCAGTTTTGTTGTTAAACCATTATCACCATAACTTTCACTAATAGTACTAACCAGTAGGCATTCAGTGCAGAACGACCTATGACTGTAGAATATAATACATGAGAGCAGTCTTTAAAATGCAGGCACAGGATGAAGCTGGAAAACCCAGGGCTTCATGCAGGTCATGGATCACCAGTTATTTGCCATCAAAGGAAAGCAACTTAAAGTGATGGGTGAAGAGGTTATGGGGATGAAAAAGAGAAAAAAAAAGATCATGTACGAAGAAAGAGGAAGGCATACTGTGCATTAGAAAATGTCTTAAAGTAGTGAATTCTGGGGGAAGCAGGTAGAATTGCCAACCATTAGTACTCTATGTCCCTTGGCAAACTATTTGTCATACTGAAAATCTGCTGCAGTCCTTCCAGCATCCAGCTTCTTAGGGACTCAGAGCAGCTCAACAAGGGTAAAATAGCAGAAATAGGGATATAAACTGGAAAGCTTACACATATAAGTTTAAATTATTATTACTGGGAAGTAGCACTGATAGAATACTGGAGATGGTATGTTAGTATTGTGACAACTTTATTCCTAATGACATTGTCAGATTCTTAATTTTTTGCACTATCAACAAATTATTGTGTGTACCTATTAGCTATGTTTCTTTATCCCAGGTAAGCTGCTTGGGGCTTTGGTTTGGTATCTGGCTTGTGGGACTTAGTTGTGAATTGAATTCAATCAGGGAAGCTCCAGATGGCTTTGTCATGATACACAGAATTGTCCCATATATTTTAGTACACTTACTCAGATTCTCTAAGAGTGGTAAATTGTTGAGCATGTGCAAGGAGGAAATACTAGCATTAAGGTCAGATGAAATGTTAGTTCAGTGTTCTTGTGCATATGCTTTATAATACAGTCATTAATTATATGATCACACTCTCTATTTCAGGATTGCCATAAAAAAGGGAGAAGGAAAGAAAAAAAGTCACATTTCATTCACCTTGTTCATGTAACTTGCTGCTTAGATTCATTAGTCACAATTTTCATTCTGCCTTCTAAGTAGTCATTAAGTAAAAAGAGCAGTGATGGTGTCACACTTTATGGATGGAATTTAGATTCAAAGAGCAGATTAAAATTTTATACATACATACCTGCATATGAGTTAAGTAGTAGATCCAATTGCCTAAAGATTGTCCATCAATGCAACTAAAGTTACCAACAAGACTTGTCTTTGCATATGTTTTAAACTGATGTTCCAGCTCACTTAAATAGACGTGTTTGAACGATATCCTTGCAAATTCTATTTTTTGAGAGAACGTATAGGAAATAATTGTAAGTATTTGCATTTTCCTTCTGATTTACATAGAGAATTCTAGAGACATCATCCTATGCTGAAATTGTTTTTTTGTTTTTTCTTTTATATGTTTTCTGTTAATGTGAATTCCTTTATTCTCTGTAAGAACCAAATCTATCAATATGTCTGTGGTCTTTTTTCGGAGAATTGCCTTTTTGTGCTTTTTTTTTTTTTTTTTTTGGTTTTGTGGTTTGGATGAGGTTTATGGTGGTTATAGTTTTTGGGCTTTTGGGGGGTTGGAGAGAGAAAAAATGGCAGAACAATTAATTGTCATGGCAAGTGTATTAAAAACAATCGATAGAGAAAACTGTAAATAATAGAAATAGTTACAAATATTTCAGGTTGAATGGACACCAAAGAGAAGACCTAATTCTCTATGTCTCACAGGAAATCACTGTGTATATTCCAAGTAAAAGAAACAACATCTTCTGAATTACGGGAAAGTGAGATATTTTGGACACCATATTATGACACACCTCACACTGAGTGCTTACACCAAACTGGAGCAGAGCATATGAGAGAAATTCTGAACACTTCGTGTAGACACCCAGTGTCTATACATCATTTTCATCATTAACTATCTATCTTTCATCATTAACTGTTTGCAATTTAAAGAATTAAGGGAAATATGTGCTTCCATGTCTCATATGTGTTGAAGCTTGTCCCTGGTGTCCCTTGAACAGAGAAATGTCTTATAGGCTTTCTGCTTAGACATATTCACATTGTCTGAGAAATTAGGACAGTATTTTCTGTCTTGGAGTCCACCCTGCATTCGTTTTTCGTAGTAATATGCTGAGCCAAAGCTATTGTGTCACAAAGCATCTAGGAGAAAAGTACAATCAGGCAACACTTAAGTTACTACAACAGTGGTCTGTGTTAAAAACCTGTGAGACAGACAAACATGATTTTTTTTTTTTTTTTTGTCATGGAAATTAAGGACATATAGTCCCAGCTGTTTCTTCTCAATCTTTATGTGAATTTCCAACAGGTATCAGCTGGCATTCTATTCAGTGTCTAAAAGAAAAATTCAGTCTTAATCTTTTGTTAAAGTCTTCTGTCTAAATTTTCCTCTTTTA